CAACCTCTATTTGTCGGACAACCTCTATTTGTCGGACATACTCTATTTGTCGGCCAGTTCAAAGTTTCAAAAATGGTTTTTATACCAAGTTATCACCTCAATCTATAAATGACCAAATATTCAACCTTTATTTAGAAGCCAGTCAGCTGTCAAAGTCCCTAACCAGGCTTTTATATCTCATACCTCTACTAACCGACCAAGCCCTCTGTTTACCGGTCACCCAATAATCTAATTTCCTGAGCGTGGTTGTTGTTTTATATAGTTGTGTTATCATTTTTTTAGGAACCATTCAATGATCTGAGCACCACAATGATGAACATGTTCATAATGACCCTTGGAGAGATCAACTACGTGGACGTCTTCATGCCATGGAACAAGTTATATTACCCTTTCCTGGCCAACCTTGTCGTAGTGATGTTTTGTTTGACCATGCCTATCATCTTAATGAACATGTTGGTGAGTAGTATATAAAGGCTAAAACGCCAGGGTGAGGGTTTGCATCGAAATTCAAGATCGAGGGCAGCAGGCCCGAGGTCTTGAATTTCAAAGCAAATCCGGGCATGTGTGTTTTACAGCCATTCTCAATCAAACGCGCTCTTTAGTGATTGTTTCTGTCGCGACGAAGAAGCTTTTAGTGGACGTCAATCAAGGCGTTTCCATGACATTCTATAKGCACATGCCCTTATAGCTTTGTGTTTGCGACAGTGTCATGGAAACGCCATGTGATTGACGTCCACCAAAACCTTCTTCGTCGCGATAGAAACAATTGCTAGAGAGCGCGTGTGATTGAGAATGGCTGTAACTGGTTTAAAAACAACCACGCCCTATTTCTATTGTTTGATGTCGGGTTTAAATTTCGATGGAAAACCTGTCTCGGGTTTTGAATTCAGCATTGATACTAACTATATATATATATATAGTTCGACTGACTGAGGATGCTTATATGTGAATAAAGTTTGTTTGATTTCTCCGGTTTTCACGTGAGTTAAGAGGCATATGCTTAGAATATTAGATGTACGTGGTGACTGGTGTGTAAAATATACATTGCGCACCCTCATTCATTAGATCCGCACTGCTCCTTAATGCATCATCTTCTCTCATCTTAAAAAGTATCGTATTATCGTCATTACAACCAGGTTGGTCTGTCTGTTGGAGATATTGACAAGATTGAACAAACGGCTTTGATTGATCGGTATGTTTTACAGGTATGTGAGCTAGTAAAGAACTGGGAAGATAACGCTAAAGAATACAATATGAAAACAGCCTCTAGAAACCATCTTTCCTTTAATATACAAGGGAAAACGTCGGAGTGGAAATCGTTGCTATGCATTAAACTGTTAAGATTTTTCCTT